GCTCGGCGGCGGGTTCGGGCCCGGGCCCGGGCTGACCTTGCGGGATTTGCGCAGGGCCTTTCTCCCTCTGTGTGCCCTGGACTCCTGCACGCCGCCCAGCCCTGGCTTGTGTGCTCAGTATTCCCGTGCCCTTGGTTTTGTCATCACCGAGGGAGCCCGTCTCCCCTCTGCCAGCAACCCACGGGACGGGGCTGGCCGGCTCTCCCTCGGCGTTGGTGCTGAAGGAGCAGTACCAGTGTTGCTAATGTAGTGTCTTTTGGGACACTGGTACGTCACCTTTCTTTGGCTTGTGGTTCACAGGTGGCTGATTTCCGAGAGCAGTTGCTGTCTTGTGCTGGTGTGGACCCTGCACGTGTCGTGGAGTTTTCTTGTGGTGAGTGCGCCGGGCTGGCAGGGAGGGGGTCATAAGCTGTCTCTGTGAGACCTGAGTGATGCAGTTTGCCTTTGGTGCTGTTTTGTCAGCACCCTAACCAACGTGGCAACTTTCCTAGAAATCATGGCAGCAAAGGGGTGCTAGTTCCCTTCCACTCTGAGCTTCCTCGGTGGTCTCAGCCAGTATCAGCAGGCAGTGTGCCTGCTGGGGCTCAGGGCATGGAAATCAGAGCAGCTGAGTGACTTGGGTGCTTTGGCTTAGCCAGGCAAACGTGTACCTCTGTCACTGCACGCAGGTAAAACATTTCAGCCTCTGGGGTTTGTGCCAACAGCAGTGATGTTGATTCTTACTACTTGTTTTTGTCTCTAGGACATGTGATTCCTCCAGAAAACATTTTACCTATAATCCTCTGCAGTGGTCCTTCCAACCAGCAGCTGGAGTTCACCTACCAGACGAGAGACCTGCCCCAGATGGTCAGCCTTTCTTTTGTTCCCTTCCTTGGTATCTCTTTTTTGCTTCATGTGCTTATGTTTCATAGGACAGCGTGCTGTGTTTGAAAGGTGGGCTGATCAAAAGCCACAGCAAGAGAAATCCATAGGATTTGGGGCAGGTGTGTTGCCAAGTGATTGGGAAAGAATAGCAGCAAAAGGGGTTTTGAGCTGTTTGCTCAGAGGTAGCTGTTGGAGATGAGGAATACTAGCAACTCCTGTTTGGCTGTACTGAGATCCTGCATTTGTGTGCTGGGCATCAGAAGATTTCTGACTGTGCTTTGCATTTTGAAGGGCTCAGTGACAGTGGAGCGTGGCAGCCCTGCAGAGTGCAGCCCAAACTATAGTGGCAGCAGCAGGTGTTTCTGCGCTTTTTCCTTCTTCCTTTGGTGGGCCAGTAAGCACCCGAGGCCAGACACTAGATCTGCTCTGCCCATGCTGATTCTCCACCAGATGTGCTAGCTAGCTCTCCACATCTGTTCTTGTGTGACAGGTCCCATCCACTGGGACAACGGACATAAACCCTCCTTTCCTGAATGACTGCTGCCCAGAGAAGCTGTGGATGCCCCATCCCTGGAAGTGTTCAAGGCCAGGTTGAATAGGGCTTTGAGCAACCTGGTGTAGTGGAAGGTGTCCCTGCCCATGGCAGGGGGCTGGAACTAGATCATCTTTAAGGTCCTTCCAACCAAACCATTCTATGATTCTGTGATCAGGAGGAGAGGCCAAGCAGTGAAGAGATTTTTTGTGATGCCCAGCTCCCCTAGAGAGCTCTCTTAGACCTGGCATATTTCCCACATTTTTCCTCCCCTAAGGCCTGTCACAGGGGAGGTGTGATCCTGGGATTGAGCACAGAATTGGAGCAGCATTAGCTGGAGCTACTGTCAGCTGCAATATGCTCTTGTCTGTCTTGCAGATGGATGAGACGGGTCGAATCCTTTGCAACCTGTGCAACGTGGTCCCAGGGGGTATGGTGTGCTTCTTCCCCTCCTACGAATATGAGAAGCAGGTGTATGCACACTGGGAGAAGACGGGGCTGCTCACCCGCCTGGCAACTAAGAAGAAGGTAATTGTGCAGCCAGGGGCAGTTGGAACTTTAAATGGAGGTTTCAAAAATCAAACAATTATATATGCATTACAGGCCTCTCTTGCTGAGTTGTTCTCATACTCTGCACAGCAGAGCAGAGCGGATGTTTATCTAGCCAATCCCTCCAGTAATGAATAAATGATACTTCCCGGGCGGCTGATCACTGAGCTGGGATCTACATTAGATTAAATGCCGCTATAGCTTCTTTAAGTGCACAGTCTGTGTGGTGGCCATGGGGGGAGTCAATCCTTGCCTTCCATAACCAGCAAGCTTGTCCCCATGTGGCTGGGGGGCTGTGCAGGTTGGGCTCTTATGTTTCCCAGGCTCAGCTGTGTGTCCCTTGAACACAGACCAGCACAACTAAGGGCTAGGCAGAGTGGGACCAGACATGCAGTTCATAGTTCATACCATTTTTGTCTTGTCCCCATGTGGCTGGGGGGCTGTGCAGGTTGGGCTCTTATGTTTCCCAGGCTCAGCTGTGTGTCCCTTGAACACAGACCAGCACAACTAAGGGCTAGGCAGAGTGGGACCAGACTGCAGTTCATAGGACAAAGGGTGCATTTTTGTCTGGTAGAAGTGCAGGGAGGAGAATTGAAAGACTAGCGGTGGTGACTCCTGTTGAAGAAGTGATGAGAAACATTAAATAGGGAGATCGCTGCAAATCTTTGCAATGACTCTCACAAGTATTTGAAGGTTGAGTATTGATGCTCAGGCAGTCCAACTGCCTCAGGGTGTTGGGGAGGGATCTTGGATCACGTGCCAGGGGGGAAAAAAAGAATTACATATACTCTGGCTGTGACTTCTGTTTACCAAAAGCTAAATAACTTACCATGTGGATTAGGAGAGCACAGTCCCAGATATTTCACAGCCTTGGTGCAGGCATTCTGGCATGGGGATCTGCCTGTAGGTTATTGTGGTGGAAGCATTATGCTTCAGCTTCTCCATGTGTTTGTACAGCTGTCGCTCACGGTGCCTTTCAGGTGTGTTCCGTCCGGGTCCCAATGGTCTGCCTGGTGCCTCCAAGGCTTTGTGCCACAGTCACGCAGCTTGCTCTGCCTTTCAACTCTGATTTGTTCTTGTTTGGCCTTTGCAGTCTCCAGCAAATTGGATATGCGTTAGCAAAGCCATTTGGTAGAGGTGCAGCAAGTGTGACTTTCAGCTGCCCACACACAAGATCATATCATAGCAGAGGAAGGTTAAAATCTTTCCTGAGATGGCTATGGTAAGATCACACTGAGATGATACATAAATTACACAGGGAAAATTAATTTAAATCAGAGGATTAAATAGCTACTGTTTAATAAGTTAAATAGTTTTGGTTTGTATGTGTAATTGCCAGTTATTTTTCTACTGAAACACTGATTCTTGCTGGTAAAATTCAATAGTAGCTCTTGCTAACCAAGAGAAAAGACATGCTTTAGGTTCTTTACTGTCACAGAAAAGACAGATGTTGCACCTCTTGTTTACTAGGAAAACAACTTGTGATTTAGGCCAAGGTGCAGCATCTATCAAAATGCAGCTTAATTAACTGCAGGGGCTTTCAGTAACTAATTAGGCATGCTATAATAACATAAAGAAATATTACTTTATGTATGCTTTTCACGGAAAACTAATTTATTCACTGGGCAAGAGGAGCTATTACTTGGAATTAATTGGTGATTCGAATTGATTGGTACTGTCACTGTCCTCCAAGATCTTGCAGCTGGAGGGTCTCCTCACCCTGCTGGATCTTTATTCATAGGGGGAAGAGGTGCACATTGCTTTCCTGCCTTTCAGCTCCCAGATGACTTGTAGCTTCTCGCAGAATTAGACAAGTCTGCCAAAGCTGAAAGGGAATGTTGGAGGGGCAGCAGCAGCTGCTGCTGCTCCCTTCAGAGCCCAGTTGAAAAGTGCTGTACTGAGCATGCGATGCGTTTCCAGGGTGGAGGGGAAAGATGCTGGTTAAGTTGGTTTTTCAGGCAATTTGACCTTCCCTGATCTTGGTTCCATGTGCTGTTTAATGGCATGGGAGTAAAATGATTTGCATTCTTTAAATTGTTTGCTTCCTGTTGCTGCAACTGATGCAGTGTGCCTGTGACAGATCTTTCAGGAGCCTAAGAAAGCCAACCAGGTGGAGCAGGTGCTGGTGGAATATGCCAAGTGCATAAAGGTAAGATGAGCTGGCAGACTGGTGGGAGTGTGGCATCCCAACTGTGTACAGGAGTGTTGCTAAACAGGGCATTGCAGCTTTTAACAAGGAAAAAGGGCTCTAGCCCAGGTGTGGAAGTGTTTCTGAAGCACAGAAATGTTCCCTGCTCTGGTTTGAGTTGCTGGTCCCTCTCCTGCAGCGCTGCAGCCAGGCAGGAGGACAGATGACGGGGGCCCTGCTGCTTTCTGTAGTTGGAGGCAAAATGAGCGAAGGGATCAACTTCTCTGATGACCTGGGAAGGTAAGGTGGCTGCTCCTTGGAAGATGAGCACTGGGCTTGTGGTGCAGTGACTCCAAGCAGGATGGACGTGTCAGTAGTTGCATAGATCAAAAATCCTGGGGAGGATATGGCTTGGACTAATACTTAAACCAACGGGACCAAGTCTGCCGGGTGCTATAAAACTTGCTTGTCCAGACTACTTTTCATGTGCGTGATGCAGGTAGGCTTGCTGTGCTAGATAATCCCTTGTCCTGGCACCCTGAATCCCTCTGCAGCTTTCCATTCAGCACATGCTTGTCGGACTGCTGTGCTTTATTGCCGGCTTTGGGTTTCAGGGCTGGCTGTCTTTCAGGGGTGTAGTGACCTCTCATCTACCAGTCTCTAGGATGAGACATGAAGAGTAATGCAGTCCTCCCTTGCAGGTGTGTGATTATGGTGGGAATGCCTTACCCCAACATTAAGTCTCCAGAGCTCCAGGAGAAAATGACTTGGCTTGACAAAACAATGGTAACAGAGACACTTACACCTCTGCCTGTTTCACTTCTGCTTTCTAGTATTAACTTTCCTCCCAGCACATGAGCCCCAGGGCTGCCTTTGAAGATTTGTTTTTTGGTTTCTTTGGGTTTTTTTCCATTTTTCCTTGAGCTTGCCCTCATTTCCCAGAGTATGTGGTACCAAGAGCACACCCTTCTCCACACTACATGTGTACAGGTGGCCCTAAACACAGGGAAGCAGTTCAGTAGAGGGAAACACCCCCAGGGCTCACTGGGAACTCTGGGTTCCAAGGGGAGCAAGGTCCCTTCACCCCAGAGCAGGTGGCAGGGTGGTAGAAGCTGCTTGCCAGGATCACGTCTCTTGGCTCACTTGTTCTTGCTCAGTGCCCACTGGAGATGCTGTTCCTGGGCAGCTGGGGACAAGTTTTCTGCCTTCAAGGGGGCCCTGGGCTGCCTCTTTGTGAATGCTCAACATAATTTTCTGACTGCAACATTTCTTCTGTCCCTCCTTACTCTCAGCTTGGGGTCTGCTTGGCCATCCACTGACTCTGCAGGGGTAAAAGCATTTGTGTCATTTACTTTGTCATTAAGACTCCCTAGTTTGATTCATATCTGCCTTATGTTCAGTCTTACCTATTTCTCCTTTCCAGCCCAGAGCTGCTGGCCAGGCACCTAGCAGAGTGCTGATTGAAAACCTGTGCATGAAGGCAGTAAACCAGTCAATAGGTAATTCATCCTTCTTTGGACAGGCTGGGGGATATGAAATGTGACTGCACTGAAGGAGGAGGGTGGGAAAAAGGATGCGTTACCACTCGGTCTAAGTACGGGTGATGGGACCATGAGCTTCCTTGCCTGAGAACAAACACCTGAGTGGGCCATTTTAACGTGGTTGTACACTCTGTACAGGCAGAGCCATTCGCCATCAGAAGGACTTTGCAAGCATCCTGCTCCTGGACCACAGGTACGCACGCCCTGCCATCTTTAACAAACTGCCGCAGTGGATCAGGGAGAGAACACAGGTGAAACCTGCCTTTGGGTCAGCGTTTGCAGAGTTAAGGAAGGTCAGAACTTGTATCTTATGTACTGCTACCAAAACTTTCCCACTGTACTCACCTGTACTTTTCTTAAACCTTCACTTTAGAGCGAGGCCAGGGACAAACTAACTGGTTTTGTATGTTCCTAGTTCCATCGAGGGAAGTCAGACGCTTTGTGATGCAGACCAGAGAACAGGCTGTAGGTCAGCTCTGTGAGCTACACCTCCGAAGAACACCTGAAGCAACACAAGTGCCTGCTTTTCTGTACCAAAGAGTTTGTGAATCTCTGCCGCCTTTGTGGACGTTTGCTGATCAGTAACTGAGTGTTATGATTGTGAGACAGCCTTCAGCATCATAACCAAGAGGGAAACTGGCTGTACCTTCACCAAGACAGGTGAAGGCAGTAGCGGCAGGCTCCTATTTGTTTACAGCTGTTAAGGTTTTATTTAAATTTATTAAATATTATTAAGTATGGGAAGTATAATTATTTTGACTGAACACATCTGCCTTTTTCCTCATCAACCACCAAGTGTAGGGGATGTGATGACCAATGAAAACATAGAGCTTTTCACAAGAATAGTAAACTATCAGGCTATTAATTCGTGGAATTCCAACATGACATAGACTCATAAGACAAGGGGCAGCTATGGGTAGCATTTCTTATTATCCCTGTCTTTCTACCTTGCTTCAAACAGTCAATAGATTCAAGCAGCGGTTCATTCTTTCAAGGGGAATAAAGATATGGCCATAACACAGCACTTCTCCTTTGATCATGCTTAAGCACAGGATTGCCCTGCTCTTTTTACTGTCTAGGTTTCTGAATTCAAAGTAACTTTCTGTGGAAAATGGTAAAAAACTTTTGTTTTGTTTTGTTTTTTTTAAAGTGTAACCTTCCTAGGGTTTGTGTCGGTGCTGGAGGGCCGTGATAACAACAGTGTAATCGCACAGCTACGCCATCCCCAGCTCTTTCTGTCATCCTGAGCAAGTCTTCCCAGGAGCTTCTTTTGGCTCCTTGCTAGTTTTCAGCAGCTGGATGCTACCTCTCAAGGCTCTTCACAATGAAGAAAGCACTTATAAGACAGAGCTGGTACCCACTCCCTGTATGTTAATTAGCCCCACAGGGAAAGAAACAGCTGCTGCTGCAAAATTTCCCATTGTGAGTCTCCTACCCCCTCAGTGGGTACAAGCCCCCCCCATCTGGCACAAGCTCTGCCTGTGAAAGGAGCAGTGGGAGTGGTGGGCACCTTGGGCCTGAGCCGAGAGGGGACAGCCGGGCTTTTTCCCTTAGCATACTCTTAATTGAGCATGCTTCCTGCTTTTACCAAAGCGAAGGCTGCAAGGACCTGTGTCCTTCAACTTTATTGACGTTTTTCAGAAAGCAACAGGCAAAGAATTACCATAAGCCAGGTAGAGAAAGAAACCATCAAGTGCAGAGGCACCAGGAAAATCAGACCCCCCATGAAGGGACACACACACACACACATTCTCTCATCTAGCAACAACCAAGCAAACAGGACCTTCAGCAAGCAAGCAGACAAATGAGGCAAGGGCTGTTTGCCTGCAAGAGATGCATTTGCAGTCATCAGTCACATTGGGAAAGATCAAGGGCCCTTTAAATCAGGAGCAATGCTAGTTCTGATCCTCTGAGCACAGGCTGCCCCACTGCCTGCCAGCTAAGGCAGGATTTATTGTGCCAGCATGAGCTGCAGCAGCATTTGAGATAGAATGTAGTATTTGGGGTGGAGAATAGCAGAGAGCAGAAGAAAAGCCCTCATTGATAACTATAATGTCAGCAGTGGTTAGCTCCTGTTGCTCCTGCTCCTCTTCAAAAATAAATGACAGGGCCCCGCCATGCCAGTGCCCAGCCTCCAGGATGGACTTCCACAGGCTGGTGTCTCTCCAAGGTGCTTAGTTCAAGAGTCCTGGGATTCACACTGATGCTCAACTGACCCCATCTATGACTCCCAGTCATCCTCATCCTCCTCACCCACAGGCTGCTGTGGGGGTGGGAGGGGTGGTATCGAGTCCGACATACGCGCAAAGGCCCCAGCAGGACTTCCAGGAGCATCGGGATTCCCGGAGGTGCCAGGCCCTTTCCCTGAAATACCTGTGAGGGAAGGAAAAGCACCAGTGAGTGACACCTGGGGACTAGAGAACAGAGAGGGTCAACAAAGGGAAGGGGGGGAAAAAAAACCACACCTCGTACCACTGCCCCCAGCACCCAGGTGACCTAGGCAAGCAGAATGGCCAGGCACTGAGGGGATGACACTGTCCCTAAATGCCAAGGCCTTGGGGCAACTCAGGTGCACCTGTAGGCGAAGGGCCCTCCTGTCCCAACACTGAATTAAAAAAAGGACACCGCTGTCCCTTCCTCACAGGTAGCTTTCAGAGTCCCTCCACTGCCTCGGACACACAACCTCCTCCAGTGCCTCCGGCTGGACTTGAGGTGGAGATTCCTCTGCTCGCCCTCTGTAAAGACACTCCCAGCCACGTTGCGGCACACTTGCTGGGAAAAGTGTCTCTGTTCCTGTTTCTAGGGCTCTGGCTGACACAACTGAGGTGCCAGAAAGTGCTCTCCCTCTTTCCTAGGGGGAAGGAACAGCCCACCCAGCAGGACAGTACCTTTGCGCCTCAACACCAGTTTGTTGAAGAGGTCTGACATCAAATCTCCACCTTGTCCCGTAGCTCTCACTGAAACAGAGCAAAACAAGTCAGACAAGAAGTGTCAGTCTGAACCTAGCACTACGGCAAAAGCATTCTGCAATACTGCCTTCAGATTAAAGAAAAAATACCAAACAAGCCTCTAACTTCCTATTACACCCCTAATCTCTCCTACTATAGTCCAGTTTCAGGTCAGGCAAATGCCCGGCACTTGCAGAGTAATGGCAGCTTCTGGGGAAAATCCAAGAGTGGAATTCCTTTAGGGGCAAGAGGGACCGGGCATTTACAGTCTCAAACCAGCTGCCAAACCAGCTCCATCAATACCTGCCCAGCTACCTAAACCAATGTGTTCAAACCGGCTCAGCCCTGCCCTTCTTGGCCCTAGGGGTTCCTTTGTCTGCCCCACACAGCACACGTGAAACATCTATGCATGCCCTGAGACAGAGTGGGTCTCCATCAAGCACACAAATGCCCTTCTGGCAGATGAGGTTTAGCAAGTTCACAGAGCTTTGGCAGAATGGGAAACACCTGAGAGCTACATCAGCCTGTGAGGAGAGACAGTGCCTTTCCGCTCTGTACATTCACCGTGCTCCTGGCTTGCCCGTCTCCCTCGAGACCCACACCTCCCCAGCCTGGGGCAGACAGCAAGGAGGATCATTTCTGCCAAAGAGCCTCAGCACCTTGTTCTTGTTCCTTCTGCTTCTTCTTCTCCAGCTTCCTCTCCTTGACACTGCGGAGGTTGGCCTTGCCAATGCCACCAGCCTGGCGGATGGACTCCAGGAGACTGGCACGCCCAGTAGAGGGGTTCACCACCTCCTTCGGGGCTCCCTGGACTGAAGCTGCAGGGACAGGAAGGACAGGCAGCAGCCACGGGTCAGTGCACCAGCTATGGGGCCAGCCAAATCCCCATGGAAAGGGCTGCTCCGATACCTCACCAGCTTCTGCTCAGGGCTGTGAGCCAGGCCCAGACACCTCCCAGTGACGGGCTTACACCCAGCCCAGCCAGCAGGAGCCCTGTCAAGGCAGGCAGGAGCAGCTTCCCCTCCCACTGCAGCTTCCCTCCTCTGCTGGAAGGCTGGGAAGCAACAGGGAACCAACCAAGGGCACAGACTAGAACCAAGGAGTCAGAGTTAGATTCTGGTGGTGAAGCTGTGGAGATGCCCAGCCCTTACCTGCAGGCACTGCATTGCTGCTCTCCTCGCTTGCTGCCTGGGCTGGCTCAGAGCGGGCTGTGGGCTGGGGCAGGGGCGGCGGAGGAGGCACGGTAGCTGGCATAACAGGAGGTGGTGGGGGAGGTGGTGGTGGAGGAGGCAGCAATAGCTCAGCATCTTGAAGGTCTGAAAGATGAAAGAAGTTGCTTCTGAAGAGTCCCAGAGGACAGCACACTGAGAGCTTCAGCTCAGAGCTTAGCATGCCTCAGCGGCAACAGATCAGAGCCCTCAGCACGCACTGTGCAGCAAAGCGCTCCCACTCTGTGCAGCATCTCTTAACAGCAGGCAGGGCCAAGGCAGAGTTTGAGATTCCCCTACTCTGCCCTCCCCAGCTGCATCCCACTTGCACAAGGGCATCCCACGAGGCTGCCATGAGGCCAGCCCCTGCACACCACGCTCCATCCTCCCTAGCCATGCAGAAAGTGAGGGAGGTAAGGGGCCTGGAGTCCTGCTGGCACTTGAGCAGGTTGCAGCTTTGACTCAGGCCCAAGCACAAGCCAGAGGTATCTCCAACACCCATCCTGAAGTCATCAAGGGACTTTCTGCCTTGTCTAGCAATCCCTGCCTTCCTCCTGCACAGGGTTGTGGGATCAGGGATTGGAAATACCTGGTTGCAAAGGCTCCACTGACTCAGTGTTGAAAGTGGGCAGCTCTGGAATAGCACTGCTAGGGGCAGACGGTGCGATCCCGGGGCCCAGATCAGCACTGTACATGAGATCTGCAGCAATGCCAGGCAGGTCCGGCAGGTAGGATGGCACATCAATCTCAGGGACCTGGCCCAGGTCTGGCACATAGAAGTAATTTTCAGCTACCTAAAAGAAACCCGAAAAAAAAGATAAGGCAGTGAGTATGCACTCGCTTTCCCTTGCAGCAAACAGGGGCACTGCGGGGAATGGCCTGGGTGGCAGTCAGAGCTGGGCTTGTGTACCTTGGTACAGTGGCTGCTCATCAGCTACCCCCTACAACTCTGTGTTCTTGTCCTGTGGCAGCTCGCTATGCTCTGAGGCTACCTCCTGCAGACCAGGGTCACAAAAGGTAGGCTGCAGGAGGAGGAAAAGGTACAGGATTCTTGCCAGTTTCTTTCAAGTGGACTCTCTCCTCCTCTGAAGGTTTCATGCACCATCTTTTGCAGACTACATAAGCTAGTCCCTTCTCCTCCAGAAGAGAATGGTGCCTGAACTGTTTCTGAGATTAAGATGCAGAAGAAGCACAACCAAGTAGTTACAGAGGTTTGGTTTTGTTTAACACACAGTACTGAAGGTGCATTGTGAATAAAGGGTTTTGTTTACTATACACACTGCTATCTCCTCCAGTCCAATGTGATGAGCAAATGGCTCCCAGGTGCCTTTCCCATCCCCGAACCACACATTCAACCACGCACCAGCAAAGCTCCGGGTACATCCACTACAAGGTGTTGGGTACAAGATCAGTCATGTGTTGGGGCAGCTGGGTTGGTGCACTGCCTGCACCATGTCCACACCAAGCACAAACCCTTTGCTCAGGCTGGCTGGCCCTTCTGTTTGCACCAGCATGCGCCCCTTCTAATGATAGGGATCAGACCTCCTCCCAGGGACCTTCCAGCAGTGGCACTTCACCCTCAGGCTCCTCATGAGGCTCAAGAGTTAGTGCAAGGAGGATGATCAAGTGATGGAGCCTCCGAACTCCTCTACAGCCCTGAGGTCTAGCAGCAAGGTGAATGAATATCACATTACTCTATCTCACACCACTCAGCAAAGGCTTGAGCAGAGAGAAACACCTGCCAAGTTTGAGGGCTTTGTCTCACCCATCAAGCTGACACCAGGACTTCAAGCACAAAAACAGGCAAGGTCCTTCTGATAAGTGACCTCCATGAGAAACCATGAGGGTCCATTCTCCCACTTGCTCTCCACCCTACAGAAGCCCTGTCCTCTCAGAGAGCTGAGCACAATGCTTTGAAGGGGAAGCAGCTGCATCCCCACAGCTGCATCTCACCTGTCGGTCCAGCTGTCCCCTTTTGGTGATGGAGAGGGGAGCATCAAAGAGCTTCTCTTCTGTCTCTGTTTCCAGAGCCACATGGGTCTTGGTCACTGCTCCAGCCAGAGGATCCAGGAAAACATACTTCTTGTACCTAAGGGTAGAGGACAAGTATTTCAGTGATGCCACCTTGAGAGCAAAGGCCAGAAGAAACTGTACCCGAGAAGGCCTTGGAGGTAGAGACCTCCCTCCAACTCACTCATGAAGGTGGAGCATGTTGGGCCTTCAAGTTTCCTTCTTTTAGCTCCACTTTCCTGTCTTTCCCCTCCACAACCAGGAAGCAAGCAGCTCCCCACTCCACCAGTGCAGCCTCCACATTCATCCTAAAGCAAAGCCTCACTGCACTGCCATCATTACCAAGCTCTCCCCTTCCTGCCTCCTAGCACGAAACCATTCAACAGCAGGACACCAGTCTCTCCTGGTGACTTGTCACTCAAGGTCCAGGAGCAAACACAAAGAGGGGAAATAATCTGTGGCTCAGGAGAAGAAAGAGGAGGTCCAGCAGCTGAAACCTCAAGAAGGGCTTAACAAAGTTCTTCAATATGAGTGAAAGGAGGAATCATGAGGCAAAGCCCAATGGGAAACACAACTGCAGTGAGGGAGGCAGAGGAGACATTAAAGCAGCAAGAGCGATGAAGTGTTGCTGTGAGGAATCACCAGGAGAAGGAGCAGTACCTAGGCTGGCACACAGGGCAGAGAAGGGCAGGAGTGGCAGCAGCTCTCAAGGCTGGAGAGAAATTACAGGACAAAGATGGAAAAAACTAAGTTGGGGAAGGGAAGTGCAAAAATGGGTTGAAAGCAGGAGCGCAGAGGATCAGGTGCAGACAAAACAACTCCTTCCACCCGAGTGAAAGAGTCGGGAGGAAAGGGTTGCTAGCTGGAAGCCAGTGGAGAGGTACCAAACCATGTCCTATCAGGAGCCTGGTATGTAAGACTCCCAGGAAAGTAAGTAATTTACTGCTACCCCCAGGGAAGGGAAAGCTCCTGTGAGGACAAGCAGGGGCAGGTGAGCAGCACAGCACTGCTCTAGCTCTCACAGGTTCTCGGTGGTGTTGAAGAGCAGCAGGGAGCTGAGGGAGCTGATGTTCCTGGGGAGGCTGCCAAGGCCTTCTTCTGCGTCATCCTCCTGGTGAATTTTGGTGCTCAAGCACACAGGGAAGTACTTGAGCTTCTCCTGCAAGAAGACAGATTAACAGGTGGTAAGACACTAAAACCACAGCTGCTGAGACAGCTCTCCCCAGCCACCACAACCCACAGTGCTGGATCCACTGCATGGTCTGGGAACCCTACTGCTCCCTCTCCACATCCCTTTGAACAAGGAAGCACATGGACAACATTGCAACCCCACACATGACAAACTTCAGCAGTTCAGACTCATAGCATGTGCTTTTGGTGCCATGGATGGGTCATGTTGAATAGGTGTTGCTGTGGCAAGGATCCACCAAAATGAAACCACCTCTTGGGCTCTATAGCCAGAGGTAGGGATCGAGCACTGCAGTCTGAAAGGCATTTGTTAAACTGTCTCAAACTACCAGACATTTTCATGCAGGCAGAGTCCCCCAAACATCTCTATTACCTCCCCTCTGCCGCCTTCAGTTGAAGTTTTAAGAGATGTGATCCCACCGGTGGGGTATGCAGGGAAGGCAAAGGAAAAAGAGGTTAGGAAAAAACAGAGTGCCTGTACTAGGCAAGAGATCTGGCAGAAGGGAGTGCGTAGACTGGAACGTGTGCCAGATGGTTTCGCAAAGCCTGAGGGATTTGCAGGAGTTTTCAACTCTAATGAACTGAAATCTCCTCTCTCTCGGTTCTAAAACTTCATGCATAATATATAGAGCTCCCTTTAGAAAAGGACTTATTACATCTGAACTGCTTGACTTTTATAGAGCACAGGAATTGCCATCCCAGATCAGAGCAGTATTTCAGCTAGCGTGACAGCACCCGCTGCCACGTGCTCTGGGGGATGAAGCTCAGTGCCCACAGCACACTTTGCTGTAGAGGGAGGAAAGACATCAGCTCCTGAACCTCGAGACAGCCCAGGATGGACAAACCTCCACCCCAGACCCCTTCCCACACCCTTCCTCAGCCCCTTCACAGCTCCTGCTCTTTCTTCACAAAGTAGGACAAGCAGCAGCCTGGCAGCTGCAAGGTGGTAAGTGTTCATACCTGAAGAAACCAGAGCATTAACCAGGACAATTTGTCAGGTTAAATAATTGGCCACGCTTTTGTGGTTTTCCTCTGTCATCAGAAGATGACCACTTTAAATACTGTCCACAGCTTCCTACTGCCTCAATACTTCCAGCATCCCTGCTCTATTCCATTATCTGAGTCCTTTTTTCCTCCTTGTACTTGTATGGGGGAAACAGAGATCACCATTGCTTCAGTTTTAAGATGACATCTCAACGACATAAAACAGCTCCTACTGATTGAAATTTCAGTCTTGAATTTGGTAGCCAGAAATCCTGGGAAATGACTTAGTCACAGCTCAGTTAATCCACTAAGAGTTTGTATGATGCTCCGAGTCTATAAAATGCTGTAAGAAAAGACCTGGGAGGTTTTGATTTAATTTTCTGCCCCCCCCCCCAATAACACATTCCAACTTGTGAAAAACACACTGAAATAAAAATCTTGAATTTTTACAGAAGCAAGTAGGCAAAAATATATAAATTGTTATTTAGAGACTGTAGAAGCAGAGATTCAAAAAATAAAGGTTCTTTTGATCATTAATATTCATTTCCCAATGTTTAATTTTTTAAGCATGAGGGAGTACTGACATTTTTTCTAGAACTCTTCACACACACTTAGCCCTCAAGTCATATATATTTTTTTAATTCTCTCTTTGTAGATTTCAATTAGCACTGGAAGGCTGTGCATCACTTTAAGGGCGTAGTGAGAAACCAACCATTACCTACATTTACTTATAAGTCTCATCTAAGGCAGTTATAAAAGCACTAAGCAAGTGTATTATTCTGAAACATGAAGCTCTACATAATCCTTTTAATTTAAATGCCACCAAAGTGCTAGTCTTATTCAAGTACCTAGATCTGTTTTGAAATTTAGAACATCTACATAGTGTCAATAATATCCTGCAACTGTGATTCCACAAGTTAACATGCCATTTGTAAATTAGTTTTCTTATAGGCACATTAAGGCCTTAAGCCAAAGGTTCAGAAGCCTCGACGTACTGAAGTCATAGCAGGTGCTTGAATTCCCGAACACCCTAATCTGGGGTTTGGCACCTGACAGGATTACAACTCCTAAGGGCACTGCCTTTCCAGGCATTTTTCTTCCTAAGAGCCTACAGTTAAAAATATATAAAGTCATCCTGGTTCTTAAGTTTAATTAAGCATACACTATTACAAAGGGAATCGGTGTGATACTCCAGAAACCCCATTCTCCCCATGCCAACAGAATGCTGAGGCTAACTCAAAAAGCACTTGAAGATGAGCAAGTGCCAAAAACCTGGTCTAGCCTCCCCATGCCCATGGTGGACCCCGAGAGGCAGAATTCACATGGACATGCCAAGTTACTGACACTTTTGAAGCCTAGCGAGGTTACTCCAGCAGTGGACTGTAACTTTTGCTTGGACCTCTTCCCAAGCCCAAGGAGACCATGTCTCCCATCCCATTTTCCGGCCTCCTGAGGGGCAACCTGCAGCACTCACTGCAAAGGCAGTGCCCGGTGCCTGTGAAGCCCCACAGGGCTGCAGCCATCTCACTGTTGAACCCTGCCTAGCTGCTACAATGTGCAAAGCAAGTGGCTTTCCAGGCTTACCACAAGGACCTTGTTTCTGGCATAATTATCCATCAGTGCTTACTGTACCAACCTAAACAGTGTCCTCTCAACAGCTGAGTTTTCACTTGCTTGGGGTGTGGAGGGGGAAAGGAGAATTTCCCAGGAGGGAAGCAGTTTTAAATGCTCTGCAGAACCATGTACTTTTCCAACTCAGTTGCTTTCCCCCCAGAGCACAAACCCTAAACGCTGAGCACAGGCTGCCACCACTTACTCTCAAACTGACGTGAGCAGAGCTTGCTTTCCTGTTGGGCATGTGCGTGCGTGTGCAAGTGAAGTTAGCAAAGGCCACTGTGACTGCTCCCAGCAAAGAGGCCCTCATTAGAAGTGAAAACAGACAGTGAGCCTCCGCTGAAAGCCCTGAATAATTGAGGAGGGCATAAATGCAAACATTAGACTTCCCTCTGTCACATTTCATTACTGCAAGGCATGTCAGGCTCTGTGTTCAGCTATGGCCAAGAAGGGCCTGTCCCCCTGGAATGTGGTCAGAGCTCGGCCACACCAAGCCCCACTCAGCACACCAGCTGCTCCTGGCGCAGGCGCCTCCATCATTCATCAGCCGACAGCCACTCGCCAGCACAGCAGCGTCCTCCTGCCCCGCAGAAGAGCTGCAGGAGCTAGTGTGCGTAAGCTTGGCAAGGGTAACAAGACTGCAACACGAGGTAGGGTCAGCAAAGCCAGAGAAAGATCAACAACCCCAAAGGAGGATAGAAAGATGGGTCACAGGAGGAGAGAAACAAATACAAACATCCCTCGGGGCCTGCAACAAAGTCCCTGTGGTCATGGCAGCCTTGGTCACAAAGGGAAGAACATGGCAATGGGACAGAGACCACCTGCGACAGGGATGAGGTGGCATCGCAGGCAGATGGCAGGGGCTGTGGGGAAGGGCATGCAGAGCTTACTGGAGCCAGCAGGCCAGCTGAATGGGTACACCACTTGCTCTTTGCAGGACAGTGTTTTTTACCAGCTGATGCTCTTCTCAATCCCCTCCCTGTGTGAGGCGCTATACATTGGCACTGGCCCTTCAGGGTGGGAGAGCATCTCCCCTGTCCGCTCACTGCCTACCTCTGCTCACCCCCCATGCTCTGATGGGATAGGGCTACCAGCCAGGCAGCACAACTGTAACCGGCCTGCTCTGGCTGGTCAGCAGCAGGTCCCTCACAGCTCTGCCCTGTGCTACTGCCGGGGCTCGAAGGAAGCATGAACTCTACTCGAGTTTGCCAGCTGTCCAGTCAGCCAGCAACCCTGCTTCCTTGGCCTGGCTGAAATATTCATAACTATCTCACCGTGCGAGATCTCAATTCCATTAATACTCAGGAAAGTTTAGCATGATAAATTATTCAGTGGCAGCTTTATTTTTGGGCCAAGGCACACAAAGATGAAGAAGGAAGTCTCTTTAGGGGTGAAGAGCAGGGAAGTTGTCAGGTCAATCCCTAACCTGCCAGGAAAAGCACTTCTGCTACTCCTAGCACAGCACATACACAGCAACTTTTAAACTTTAAATGCAGCAACTCTTCCTCCTCTCCTTCCAACCTAGAGATGTTGACCCAAATTGTTGGAGAATCCGCTGGTAGCATTTCCTGCCAAATCTACCACTTCTCAGACCTCCCTAAGAAGCCCCTCTCTGCCACTCAATCCACAGGCTAAAAGGGAACTCAGTACTTCAGGACCTCCTTCAACATCACCAGCTGCAGACATCTGTGCTATGGGCACATGTGCAAGCCCCAGCTGTGCTGGGTACTGAGAGATTCAGCTTCTCTGAAGGGCTTACAACCTACAATAGCTGAATACAAGGCAAAGGAGAAGCAAAGCACAAACAAGAGATGTAAAGAAGCAAAGTAATCTTCCCCCTCAAGGTGTAAAACTTAGCTGGGAACCAGGGAGGGACAATACCCAAGCGCAATGCTTTCCTGGGACAGAAAAATGCTATAATGACTCCTTTTTCTCCTGACATGCTCACAAGCGCTTTTACTTTTCCCTTCTCACCATCACTTATATTAGAGCCTTCAGGAATTATTTTTCAAACAATTACGACCCTGATCCCACCTGCCTTGCTGTGCATAGTCAAAGCCTTAAGCCCAGCCAGCAGCATCCCCCAGCACTGCTGCAGGAAACGGCAGCGTTTCAGGAAATGGAACTGCTCTGGAGACTTGGCAGCTGACAGCCACCCAGAGCACTCAACCGCCCAGCCAAGGTCTTGTACTGACCTGGCCCTCTCAAATTGGCAGCTCCGCAAGCTTCTCAGCCTGACCTCACACACCCTCACCAACAGGCCAAGCTGAAAAAATGTTCTGCTCCCCACCTATATCCTAAAGCCCTGGTCTACTTCATCAAAGAGACTAATAGCCTCCTAGCTTCTCTTTGCATGTTCAACTCAAGGTCTGTTCTCCTCCTCCTTACCTGCCAAGCTTTCTCATCCAGCATTCGGTGTTTGCTCTGAATCTTGTGTCTTGGCCATTTCTGTTTAGCTGGGTCTTCTGCACCAGCAAAAATTGAACTGTACTCCTGCAGTCGTTCAGGGGCTGGATACTTGGCACTGGAAAATACCTGTGGAAAAACAAGGAAGGACTGAAAAATCCCAACAACTAGGCAATCCTACAACACACAAAAATGTGCAGTGGAGCAAGCGTACAATTTGTGCAGCTAGTGGGAATGGACAGCCTTGGAGTCAACAGGCTCCTAAGGGCTATCTGCACAGACCCAAACATGCATGGGCTGTCGTTTCTGAAATTGGAAGTGCGAGAGCTTCTCTTATATGTAGGTGCCAGGAGATCACTGGCAAAAAGACTTCCACTGGCAGGAAGGGAGTTGGAAATACTGTATAAAATGGAGTAAGAACAGGGAAAGAAGGATTTTCATTTCAACGGGATTAAGACACACTAAGGGGAGGCTTTCTAACAGCAGCTTTCATTCAAATAGCCAAAGTGTCTATGAGCCTGAAGTGCAAGGGTGTTGGGCTTAGCTCAGCACATGCCTTTTCTCTTTCTCAGGAAGCAGCTGGGGCAGCAACCTATATAGGCCTCACAAGGCCTGGAGCTGTGTGGCTCATGGGTCTACAAATCATCAATTGGCTGAGTCAGGAAGGGGATTCTCATCACAACCCTGCTCAGCAGCAAGACATGGAGAGGTGAGCAGGCAGCAGCTGCGGCAGCCGAGCACCTGTTCTTCTCCAGAGCTTACATCAGGAGTAAACAGAGAAGGTGGAAGGAAGAAGGGAGGCCATGCAGCCTTCACTGAAGTCACTACCTTAATAGCCTTCTTGCTGCCCTTTATCTTCTCAATCTTCGCTTGGGCGAGCGTGACTCTCTCACCGACTGCCTGAAGCTGTGCCCGGCTGGCCTCCACCCGCTGACAGATCCTAGGAGGCAAGCACCTTTCTTACGATTAAGAATCCAGAGCCAGAGATTTTTTGGCAACAGCCAGTGCCGAGGCCTTCAGGGAAGGATGTGAATCTTGGTGGATTGGGCTGTTTCATAGGGCAAAATAGTGCTGGTTGAGATATGCTTGTCTCTGTCCCTTTGAACATTTTATGTACTCTGACATGAAGGTAGGTCTAGTCTGTGACTCACAGCACAATGTTCCTGCAGTTGTTTGAGGCAAAGCACAGAAAGATGGAGAACTGCAGCTTTTTTTGCAAGACCAGAGTGCCACAAGCCCTGTGCCTCTCTGCAGGTACTGCTGACAAGAAAGCCACAGCCAGTTATCAATTGCCAACATATTTTTAATAAAAATGACTTGTTAAAAATGAAAGGCATCACATGCTAATGAGCAGAGTTCAGGACTCTCAAGGCTTATTTTGTCCTCTACTATACTAGCAGTTTATTGCACAACCTCTTCCCTGTTGATTTGCAGCTTTGTGATTTGGTTTCCATATCAGTTAAACAACAATAGGTCCTCATTTGGAGCAATAAAGCATGCTAACTTGCATAATTTTTTTTTCATAACTAGATGTACTGGTTTTGGCTGGGATAGAGTTAATTTTCTTCATAGTAGCTAGTATAGGGCTATGGTTTGGATTTGTCCTGGAAACAGCATTGGTAACACAGAGATGTTTCAGTTACTGCTGAGCAAAGCTGACACAGAGTCAAGGCCTTTTCTGCCTCTCACCCCACCCCACCAGCAAGGAGACTGGGGGTGCACAAGGAGCTGGGAGGGGACACAGCCAGGACAGCTGACCCCAACTGACCCAAGGGATATTCCATACCATATGACATCATGCTCAGCATATAAACTAGGGGGAAAGTCGGCTTGGGGACTGGCTGGGCATCGGTCAGTTGGTGGTGACCAATTGTTTTTCATTTGCATCACTTGTCTTTCTCTTATTTTGCTTTTTATTAAAATTTATTACCTTTTTATTTCAACTATTAAACTGCTCTTATCTCAACCCACAA